GCTTTCAATGAGTCTTTTTAATTCTTTCTAGCAAGTTATGAAAACTGAGGATAGTTTGGGAAACTCCTATTATGGTTTGAATTTTGTCCCCTTTCTCAAATTCATATGTTGAACTCCTAACCCCCAGTACCTCAGAATGTTACCTTATTTAGAAAAGGGTTATGGCAGATGTAATTAGTTAAATTAAGGTAAGGTAATACTGGAGGAGGGGTCTAATCTGATAGACTAGTGTCTTTATTAAAAATAGGAAAGTTGGACACAGACATACACACAGGAAAAAAAGTACAGACCAGAGATTGGATTAATGCATCTGGAACACCAAAAGTTACCAGTAAACCACTAGAAGCAATGGTATAAGTATGGAACAGATTATTTCTCAGAGTCCTCAGAAAAAAACAACCCTGTCAATACCTTGATCTCAAAGTTCTACCCTGCAGTGCTATAAATCAAATCTCTTTTGTTTGAGCCACACAGTCTATGGAATTTGTTACAATAGCCCCCACCCCCTTAAAAAAAACGTGAAGTTCATATCAGAAGTCCTTGACAGACTTAGCAGTCTGGGGGATTGTGCCTTTAGCCTCATAATTTGACTAACTTTAGTAGATATCTAAACTGGACACAGAGGGAGATGGCTAATGACAAAATAGATTGAGGGCCCTGGTATTGTTAAAGAATTGTACTTGGAATGTTAAAAAGAAGATGGAAAGGTGGGTTGGTGATTGGAGGGTGAGGTGCTTACCATAGAGATTTTAGAAGCAGTGCAGTTATCAGTGACTACAAACACCAGCATAAGACAAGAAGGAAGCACGGTTGATGTGGACTGGAGGAAACCATCATGTGAGGTGAGGAGAGAAAGGAACCAAGGGGCCAACATGTTGTATGGAATTATCTAGGATAGATGTTGTCTTAGCTACTTTTCTCATTGCTGAGACAAAATACCTGACACACAAAGTTAAAGTAGGAAAGGTTTATTGTAACTCACAGTTGTAGAGCTACAAGATAGGGTGACAGGGCAGAGTGGCATCACAGAGGAGAAACAGTTCATGGCAGGCAGAAGGCAGAAAAAGCAGCCCTTTTTCTGTCCCTTATATTCTATCCAGGCTACATGCCCTTAGGGTGGGTAGCACTCACACTCAAGTGGGCCTTCCCATTACCACACCCAGAACTATGCCAATTCAATCAGTGGACTACTTTAGTAATTACATACCTTTGATCCCAGCATCACACACTTAATAGCAGTATCATCCACTTAATCAAAGCTTCACACATTCAAGATCCAGCCACCTCTGAAAAGCCCCAGGTATGCCCACATGACCCTTTGGGGGGACATTTATAAACAACCCATAGCAGATGTAGGTGTTGAAGATCCAATAAGGATGACAGGAGCAGTGATGATGAAGGGAAAGGTCAGGTACCACAGACCTTAATGAATGAGAAAAGTACCTCAGTTGTCAATAGATGAAATCCGGAAGAAAGGGCCATAACTAATAATATCGGATGTCCCAGACTTTAGTGGAGCTTGAGCAATGATGGAAGGAGGAATAAAATGATGAGAGTGTCAATTGGGAGGGACCAAGGAAGATATCCCCCATCCAAGTCTTACTACCAACGAAGCCCTAACTTGCACTTAACTGTGTATTTATTCATAAACACATACCACACATTGTAGACTAGGAATAATCTAAATGCTATTTTCAAAATTTCTGTCTTAAATATAAAGGCTACTTAGGAACTTCAAACATCCCAGACATGAAATGGGGAACTAAAACCATACTCTACTCAACTAGAAAGCAAAAAAGATACTGGATTTGAACTCTCTTCTCTGTGGCTCCATACATAACTCTTGTTTTAGTCCATTCAGGCTGCTACAACAAAGTACCTTACAATGGGCAATTTATAAATAATAGAAATTTAGTTCTTGTGGTTCTGGAGGCTGAGAAGTCCAAGAGCAAAGCACCAGCAGATTAGGTGGCTGATGAAGACCCATTCCTTCTATATGGTACCTTTTATGTCTTCACATGATACCAGGGGTTAGGATGCTCCCTTCAGCCTCTCTTATAAGGGTACCATTCCCATTCGTGAAGGTGGAGCCCTTGCAACTTAATCACACCCTCATCTCAATAGTACCACCCTAAGTGTAAGCTCCAACATAAAATTTGGAATGGATACCAACAGTCAAAACAGCAATGCCTTTACAAAATATCTTCTGCTCTTTGAGAATTATACTTCCCTATCTCACTGACATTAGGTTTGGTCAATAATATATAAACACAAGTTATATGCATCCCTTCCCAGAAGTTCTATGATCCAGTGTGTGATCACCATGTTCTCTTCTCCCTCTGCCATAAAACTATCAATTCCAGATAGTTGCACCTCCACCAGTATGAGCCCCAGAGTAAGACAAGCTAGAGCAGAGACTCAGCCAACTGCAAATAACAATCATCATGAATGTAAAACAAAATAGTGTTGGCTGTTGAAAAACCACACGCTCTTGGAGTCATTTTTTGCCACTGCAGAACCTAGCTTAACTAGTACAATGAAGAATCTAGTATTACTTGAGGGCTTCAATTTGAGTAGCAGGTAGATGAAAATGCCATTCCCAGGCAAGAAAATATAGGAGAAGGAAATGCATTGCCCTATATTTCTGTTTCTCCCAGCCACTATCCAACATGTGCTTCCTGATAACCACTTCCAACTTTCTTCAAATATATTCATTCTGAGAATGAGCTTCGCAATAATACTCCTTCAAACTAAAAGGGGCCTCTGGATTTTTTTCCTTATATTCTACTACAGAGGTAGTCTCCTGCTTTACTGAAAAATAGAGAAGGGAAAGGGGGACCATTTATAAGCCCCCAAATCACCAATAAATGTCCTGGGCTGGGAATTTAGCTCAGCGGCACAGCACCTGCCTGGCAGGTGCGAGGTCCTGAGTTTGATCTCCAGTACCAAAATAGTAATAATAATAATAATAATAATAATGTCCTATTTCCATGCAGAGTAATTTTTGCAATGTCCACAAAGCAAAAAAGGACTATCAGCTCAGCACTATAAAAAGAATATGCCAACAGCCTTGAATAAGTCATTTTAAGAAGTGTATTGTTTATACTACAAATTCTGGACAACTTTGCCTGTTTCTATTATACTTTATTAGTTTATTCCTGCTCAACAACCATAAAAATGTGAACAGAACAATGACTCATTCCACCTAGAACTATGTCCTCTTTAAGTTCTTCCCAGAAACTCTTTTCTTGTTTCCTTCAGGCAAGAATTTACTAAGATACCAACACTGAAAGAAGTGCCCTTACACATTGTAACATCACCTATACCCTTCCAGAGCCCAACTGATATCAGTTCCTACATTAAACTCACCTCTAGGAGACAGGGAGGAGGGACCTGATAGTCACCAGTCTATTTGTTCAGTCTTTGCTCCTGTCAGCCTCCCTTTACTTTGTATCTTTATCAAATGACTGCTGGAGGAGTTGAACATCCAGGCCCAATGTGCAATTGCCAGCAGTGAGTAATTCCTTCTTCTTACAGATCTGCAGATGCTGCTGCTGGAGGTTGGGAGAGGGACTCAGTGCTCTTCAGAGCCTCAGGAAGCAGTCCCTTGAAACCACTTAAGGATTAAGCTCCAAGATGAGCCCAGCCTAGGCTCCAAATGTGACTGCCTGTTCTGTTGCAATGCTGCCCTAAGGAGACTCCAAACCCTGGTCTCATCTCATCTTACGATTCATGCCACAGCAAGAGAGATTGTGTTAGTTACTTTTCTCTCCTGGCTGAGACAAAATACCTGACACTCAACATTAAAGAAGAAAAGGTTTATTTGGCTTACAATTCACAGAGGTTTCAGTCCATAATCAGCTGGCTCCGAGGAAGGGATGGTGAACAGGCATCACAGAGGACAAACAGCATGGACGCACAAGGTAGCAAAGGCAACAAGGGACCTTAACAGTGTCTTTCTGCTCCTTTTATCTTATTCAGACTACCAAGATTACGGTGGTGCCAAACCAATCACTCACATGTGGTGGTTTAGTAATCACATGCCTTTAATTCCAGCACCACACACTCTAGATTCACCCACCTAGAGCACATGAGGCTTTGGGGGAAGACCTAGTCCCAAACCATAATAGAGATCCTTCTAAGATACAAATCAGTCTCTCTCTCTGTCCTGCTTACAACCTTTCAGCAGATCCCTGTTAAGGAACATAATAAATACCCGCTCTTTTGCACTTATACACTGCCCCTTACCATGTCTGCTGGGGCTGTTTTCTGAACTTTTTCCTATTGCATGCAGCACAGCTCTTTTTGGATACACCTTAGGTCTTTTCTACCAGGAAAACTCCTTTTTTATCTTTCAAATCTGATCCCCAGAGTTACTTCCTCTGTTGTCTGCCCTACATGCCACACCTCATTCCATTGTTCATTGCATCCCTAACCATGGTAGAATAAAGGGCTTCCTTTTCCTATGAAGTACTGACAGTGGCTCTATTGCTGCAACATAGTTAGAGAATCACTATTTACTTAAATGATGTCTTCTCCATGCATCCAATTTTTATATTCACAAGAAATTGAATTGTCCTACCATAGTGCTTAGAGTTGTGGCTGACATATAAGGAGACTTCATTTCTGTTTTACAGGCATTTGTAGTACTGAGTATGGGAACCAAAAGTAGGAGAGACCCAACTTTGGACACACAGAAGCAAGCAGAATTCTAGAGCAAATAAGTGCATTCACAAATAACTGTACTATATTGATAAGGTATATCACAGAGGTTCATAAATCTTTCTTAAAGGAAAAAAGTTATATGAACCAAAGAACTCAGTTTATTGGGCTATTACTTCTTTTGCTTGCCTTTTGCCTCAGCCCCTATGCAATGATAATAATAAAGATAGTGTTGGTTAATCAGTTTGGGCTCTGAAGCTAAATGGCATAATACAAATACCAGCCTTACTGATGATTAACTCTGTAGCCTAGGGAAAATTCCTCAGCCACTCCAACGTCTGATTTCCTCATCTATAAAATGGGGTTGAAAAGAGTGGTGCCTTTTTCATGGGGCTCTTAGGAAGATTGGATTAAATGAATGAGGTACAAAAAAAGCTGCTGGATAAGCTCCTAGAGAAACAAAAGAAACATCTGCCTCCAAACTGAGAGGGATCTGACAGTCCAAAGAACAACTCAGACAAGTCCAGCTTGGCAAGTAAGTGAGTTTATTAGGGGTTACTTACAGAGCAGTGAACAACTTGTGGGCTGCAGCACCACCAAAGTCACCACTTGTGTGCTAGACTAATGATTTTATAGGGCACTAATTAAAACAGCAAAAGCAAGAAAGGTCCTTGGGAAAAGTTATGTGTAGTCCACTCCCATCCCATCATTGTCAGGAAACTTTGCTGGTCTCAGCAAGCACTGTCTACCCACAGTGGTAGATGACCTTGCTCTGCTGCAGACTGGCGCACAGCCTCAGCACCTGGTAGGGGCCCACGGGACAGCTACAAAGGAGCCCACAACAAGATGGAGCTACTTTGGCTAGGGTTCAGACAGCTCTCTCTACAAAAGCATAGAATAATGGCTGGAACATATTAAGCATCCAATAAACACTAGTGGTTAGCATTTGCGATTGTCAACATTTATTGTTGAGTCAATAAAATGGCACTCACTGTGCCATCTGCTTTCCACACACTGGCTGGCTGAATCTTCACATAGCTACCATAGAGGTACTCAGAGTATACCCATTGGACTCTGAAGAAAAGCAAGGCAGCATTGCCCAGGGGTCAGAAGAGGGGTTTGGAATCTGACGTATCATCCATGGAACCTGAATATGTTATTTTAACCTCAGTTTCCTTAAGCTAGAAATAATTTTTCACGGTTTTTTGGGAAGATAACACAGGCATTAAAAAAACTTAGTATATTACTCATTATACATTAAGTATTCTGCAAATATGTTACAAGATTTTATTGCTATTATTTTGATTATTTATTAGTATTATTATGAAAGAGATAAGAAGCTGAGGTCCAAGCCACAGTCTGGCTAACAAATCTAGGTTTCTAACCATTACTCTGTCCTCCCCCTTCAGACCAGCTCTCTCTCAGAGGCTGAGAACTGAGTTACAGAGGACAGTGGGGGCAGGAGAGAGCAAATCACATGTTGAAGGCTGCCCTTCCCCTCCACCACACTCTATTTTTTTTTTTTACTAAATTCTTTTATGGGTACATTTTAGTTATACAACACAATTACATTTCACATTGGGAATTGTACCTTTACATAATGCATGTTGGCTCTTATTTTTTCCCCATTCCTAGCCCTCCCTTCATGCCCTCCACCCTTCCCTATTGACAAAGACTTTATTTCCATTTTTTCCATTTCTCA